TAAAGCACATATAATAGTGCCTGGTACATAATGAGTGCTATTACCATTATCCTTTTCCTCATCTTTATGAGGCTGGTCAAAGTGACATCATATATATTACACCAATTGTCGTCAAAGTATCACCTCCAGACTAGCAACATCAGCATTGCCTAGGAATCTGTTGGAAATATAAATGATGGGACCTCCCCTTAGACCCACTGAATCACAAACTGGAGTTGGGGCTCAGTAATGTGTTTTAACAAGCCCTCCAGATGATTCTGATGCATGCTAGAATTTGAGAACCTGTACTACACCAATAATCACCTGGGAAGCTGGTTATAAATGCAGACCCTTGCTCTGGCTGGTATGGCTCAGTGGACTGAGCTCTGGCCTGTGAACCAAAAGGTTGCTGGTTCGATTCCAGTGAGGGCACATGCCAGGGTTGCAGGCCAGGCCCCCAGTTAGAGGTCTGCAAGAGGCAACCAACAGATGTTTCTCTCCCTCTCTTTCTCCCACTCTGAAAATAAATAAATAAAATAAAAAAAAATAAATATAAATGCAGACCCTTAAGCCTTACCATCAGAGACTACATCAGTAGATTATTTACTTTTATTCTCAAAACAAACCTTCTGATTGGTATTATTGCATTTTACAGATAATAAAACTAAGTTTCAGAAATGTTCAATAATTTGCCCAAAGTCTCCCAGCCCTTTAGGATTTGTACAGGGACCCAATATAGAGGGCTACCAAACTCTTAAACAACAAAAACCTTTTTCTAACAATTCCACTTGACAACACATTTACGTGTTAGTGTCCTTTAAAGAAAACAACCAAAAGCTAGTAATAATTCATCACTGCTTTTAAAGGTACTCACAAATTTTTAATCACATTATCACCTACTTGCACTTATATAACAGTAGTACTTTATATAAAATTTAGATTCCTGATACGCTAGGTAGCCCACATCCATAAACTGGAATTGTGACATACTTCCCTGCTTTAACTGCCTATGGCACAGGTGGCAAACACAAGGCCCACTGGCCGAATCCGGCCCTCCACCTTGTTTCTACCCAGCGGCAGTGCTGAACTCCTTGCCCCTAGTTAAGGAGTAGTTATGGTACTTTTACACAGTCCTCAAATTACATTCGGCCCTTTGAAGGCAACCTCAAGGCTGATGAAGTTCCAGGTGAAAATGAGTTTGACACCACTGGCCTATGGGCAAAGTGAAAAAGGAAATCAGGGCAATTTACACAACTGTAATGGTCAAATGATCATAGAGGAGGAAGCAAACAAATCTGGACAAATTTAATTTTTCATTTCACCAACCAAGCGAGAATTTACCTAGTGAAAAACTGCCACAGTTGCTCTACTAGCTTCGGGTTTGACACCTGAATTTTGTTCAATGGTAGAGTTAAATTTCCAATATTGTTTTGAAAAGCCATTTAAAATAATCTGGCAATCTGCTTAAATTTTCTATTCCACAGAACACAAAGCTTGTTCACTCCTATTTTTAGCCACACACACAAATCACTAACTAGACTGCAAAAAGATCACTAATCTGTTAGTAATCAAAGTTAACAGAAATGGTACAAAATCAGATAAAGCAATTTTCATAAAGATGACAAAATGGGAAGACAAAGATACATTAAAAAAATCTCAGGGGAAGCACTCAACTAGTATTACAGATGAAACTAATAAACAGAGACTGAAACAAGTAAGTTTTAATGGAGAGGTTTGGAGAGGAAATGACTCAGAAGGAAGTAAAGAAAGGGAAGGCTGGGTGATTTGAGTTTGCTGACAAGTGTTGAAATACTAGTTAAGTAATTTTCTATCATAACAAAGGCTCTTGCCAAATGTTCCAGGTAAACTAGAAAGAAAGAACACTTAGTATAACTAAAAATGAAAGATATTAATATTATTTAGGCTTAGAAACTGTTGTCTGTGATGACTATTAACTTATATAATAATAAAGACAAATATTCTACCTTAAAATATGAAATTTGAATTAGCCATTGAAAAGGCCATTTAAGTTACAAATAATTTTGTTTAAAACTCTGTAATAAATCCTTAGATTACTGATCACTTATTTCCTAAGTTAGAGTTTTAATTTTTCTATGGTGTATTAACATTAAATTCTAGAAGTCTGCCCTCTACAGCTTTTGGATTCCTACTGGGATTTTAGTTTTTCTCTCAGATAAGAATGAGTCAGGGTTTCTCACAGGTGACCTAAGTAAATGCTGACTGGGAGACAAAAGTTTTAGCAGGTTTTCTTCCTAATATAATTCTTCTATGAAAAAGTTTAATTCAATTTTTAAAATACATTTGGTTATGCTCCATGGCAAAGTATGAGGTCAGGTGATGCAATAAATGGATTTTATATTAAAGGGATTATTACAGACAGTAAGGTTCCTGTAAATTTTTCCATAATAAAACCAGTAGTAACTCTTAGTCTATTATGCTCATAAGACCAAGGACAGATAGATCTTAACCTCTATGCACCAGAGTAAAAAAAAAAAAATTAAACTTCTAATCTCTGTATTACATGGATATTTACTGATTACTTAGCTAGTTAAAAAAACAAAACAAAACAAAACAAAAACAGAGACCTAATACAGGGACTGTTAAAGAGTTGAGGAAGCCCCAGAAATTCATACACTGAGGCTTTTGATTTTAGTCAATCAACATTTATCATGGAACACTGAGCCCGTAAGTCAACCAAAGTCCCCCAAATCACTTTACTTAGTCTGCAAAATTTAAATGTTATTATTTGAAACACATGGTGGTCCAAAGACCACCATCATAAAGTGTTAAACAATCAGACTGTTGTGGTAAAATGTAACTAAATCTGCATTAAATGAAAACAATCTTTGAAGTAAGCTGTCAAGCCATTGTTTATTGTTTTTCTCTTTTGGGACTGGAAAGCCCAACAGTAAAAGGAATAGATTAAGTGCTACTATCCCCACATTCAGGTATCAAGTCAACAAACTTCTCATACACAGATGCCTAAAGGGTCAAGCACAACAATCATATCCTATTGTGAATTACTTTAATTATATCCTAGATTCCTTCCAACAGCTAATGAGATCATGGAGTGTGGGTGGGGAAAGGTGGGGTATATTGAGAGTATTTTTAGAAATGGTGCAGTGCAACAACTGGCAGTTCTGAACAGTCAGAATGACACTGAACATGAGGGATGGGACATGATCAGGAGAGTGATGAGCAGATGAAATATTTGTATAAAGAAAAGGAGGTTATACGAAAAACCTCTTTCTACTTTGAAATTCTACCTGGGCCACTTGTGGGGTACTCTGACACAAAAAGTCACCTCATAGTCTTGGACTAGATTAGCACCAGAATTGTCTGATTGGGTTCATGAAAGGCTATACTGTAAAAGACAGGATAAAGGTCAACATGTTTACTAACTGAATGATCTCTACTCTAAACACTCTACTCCAGTCATACCTCCAAAAACCCACTTGTCCTTTGCAAGTGTCTGTGCCTTTAAAGTTGTTTATTCTGCCTAGTTCCTTGTCCCCTTCTCAGATGTACAAACCCTACTTATCCTTGAAGATTTAAAGAAAGTGAAGCGTCTTTCCAGACAAAAGTTGGATGCCCTATGGTTGAAAGCTGAAAAATGAATAAAACTGCGTAGACTGAGATTACACTACCACACAATTATTGTAATGAGTTTAGGTCAACTTTTCTTCACATGTTTGAGTTTTCCAAAGTTGGTCTTGATGTGGAAAGCTGGATAGCAACCAAAATGACTAAAGGGCTGTGCCACTGGCACTATAAAGAATGAAAAGAATCTGGGTTACAAAGCATGCTGGAAATAACCTGGGAAGAAGGGAACACAAAACAGTTGCTGTTCTTTTATTTTTACTGGCAAACAAGAAATGAATGATACACAGCAAGGGAGTTTTTGGTATGATTTCTCACTGTGTAAAGGCAAGGCAGTGAAGTTCCCTATTAAAAGAATCTGTGAACCCTGTTATAATAATAATAATACCTCATAGAGTTATTTGAGAATAATATAAAAGCCCGCGTAAAAGACCCTATTAGAGTGCCTGGCTCACGTGAGTTACTATTTTCTCTTACTATATAGTCTTTAAAGGTTGTCAGAAAATTCTTTGGAAAGTTTTTTTAGCTGGGAAAACGTAGTATGGCCAAATAATGCTTAAGTTCTTTCCCTTCCAAGAAGCCATCTGTAATTACACTCTCCAAGTCATTCTCAACATTGGCGGGCCTAATTAAATAAAAACGCACTGCCTTAATCCGCCTACTAATCGATCGGTGGGTAGTAGGGAAGTCTGGGAAAGGGTGTATTTTGGCCAAAAGAATGTAGCACTTACTAAGGTTATCCAAATGTTGGGGGGAGGGAAGTTCCAAGGTAGCGACCTTACTTTCAAAATATACTGAAACACGTTCTGACAAGTACCGGTAGTCAGAGAAAACGAGAAGGCCTAACCAGGAAAAGACCACCTGAGCTGCCGAAGGTAAAGAAAGAAGATCCAACTTAGCCGACGGCTGTGGAGGTAGAGACGGGCTAGCAAGGAAAGACGTTTCATGTGTTAGGGTGCAGTCTGAAGCGGAGACCTGGCCGACACAGGAAAATCCAACAGGAATGGTTTACCCGGGACCACTGGAGCAAAAAGAGGACAAAGCACGTAGGCCACGCAGGACTCCACCGGCGCCAGACTCCTACCTGCTCTTCCCGCTTCCTTCCTCGTCGCCTCGTGATGACTTCGCCCACCAGCGCCCAACCCCGTGTAGCGAACGGCGCGAGGCGCCTCAACCAGTCACATCCGGGGCCGGGAGGAACCGCGAGCTCGGCGGGCTTGCGCCCTTGCTTCTTGCCCTCAACCCGCATGGCGGAGCCACGGTCGCGCCACGAGAAGGCAGTGCGAGTCGGGCGGTTCCGGCGCCAGGGCTGAAGGAACCTCGGGGGTGGGGCGAGGGACGCCCGTGCGGCGGGTGCGTCTGCCCTCAGTGAGGCGGGGCGCGCGGCGGGCTCCCCCGGGCAGGGGCGGGAGTGACGGAGGGGCCGGACGGTTGGCTGGAAAAGGGGCGGTGAGCGCTGCTCCGGTCTTTAGGCGAGGCTTGGCCTCCCCAGCAGAGACGGGGGGAAGCGGCGGCAGTGGAGGCGGCCCTAGGGCCGGCTCGTGAGACGATGGCGGCGCCGGCCCCGGGGGCAGGGGCAGCTTCGGGCGGCGCTGGCTGTAGTGGCGGCGGCGGTGCGGGCGCCAGCTCCGGCTCTGGGTCCGCGGGGATCGGGGGCCGGCTACCCTGCCGAGTGCTGGAGTTGGTGTTCTCCTACCTGGAGCTGTCCGAGCTGCGGAGCTGCGCCCTGGTCTGCAAGCACTGGTACCGCTGCCTGCACGGCGATGAGAACAGTGAGGTGTGGCGGAGCCTGTGTGCCCGCAGCCTGGCAGAAGAGGCTCTGCGCACGGACATCCTCTGCAACCTGCCCAGCTACAAGGCCAAGGTGAGGGAGTCCAGGGCCATGCCGCTGCCCCCAGTCCAGCTCCTGCGTACCGCTCTCAGTGCTTGTCATCTAAGCTTCTGAGTCAGACTCCTCGCTTCACCATCCCGCCTTTCTAGTGCATCAGTCAATACCTGACCTCACATCTCTCTCCATAAAGGTCTTCTCTTTGAAGTTTGGTTCTTTAACCCACCCCACTTCCGTGATGCACTTTTTTAAGGACCAGATGGTTTCCCATCCCTGGTTTCCATCATTCACTCTACTTTTCACTGTCTTTCCCTTTAAAGACAGATCACCCCCATTGTTGTACCGTGAATATTCTCATTTATCTCCGTGTCTTCCAAATAGGCTTTGTTATGTTACATCTTCCTGCTGCCTTAACATTGGCTTTCACCCTCACTTTAACCCAGCCTTTTCCAAGCTCTGATTTATAACCATTTTTTTCCTTATTTTAACCTAGGTTCTCCTTAATTCCTTCCACTATGTTTGAGGCTTATAAGTGTGGTCCTAGGCATCCTGCTTACTTTCAATATACCCGTGGGCATCGCTTAACCATCATAATACTGCCTTGTCCAACTGTTATTGGCTACTTCCTTGCCAACTTTTTCCTAGTTGCACCTTGATGGTTTTGTTGCCTTTTTTTCTTCTAGATTCCTTTTCATATTCCCACCTTCTTATGGAAATAAAAGTGTCCAGTAACAGATGTAGTAGGGCTAAAAGGATTCTTCAGGCAACATAAACGAAAGGCCTCTAGCTTGAGTTGGATGGATAACTGCTATTCAGCATAGTAGTTACCAAGGACATATGTAAGAGAGGATAAAGTCTGACTTAGAATGTGGTAAACAAAAAAAAAAAGCATTAATAACTAAAAAGGGAAAACATCCCTTTTTAACGCTAGACTGCCAATGGATGTCAGAATAAGGAGTAAACATTTTCCATGTGAAATAGATATAAAATTTCTTCTGTAATAAAGCAGGTTTTAGTTTAATAAGATACGGAAGGAATATTGCTGTTATATATGATCTATCAAGTTGTTTTCTTACTAAGTGAAATAACGTTAATTTCCTACACTATTTGTACATGGTATAAGTGTACAGCAGATACTAGTTGTAAATTATGTAGTAGAGTGCAGATGATTGCAATTTTTGCTCATTTTATCTCAAATGTGTAGGTATCATAAGTTTTATTTTTCAAAAGTTTACTGTTTTTACTTATGTTAAATTATGACATTGGTCTGTAATAGATCTATTCACATGACTCAAGGTTCATAGAATAATATGTAAAACATAACGTGTTCATGTGAGTCAACATTCAAAAAAAAGCAAAATGTCTTCCTTTTGCCCCTGTCCCCAGCCACCCAGTTTCCTTTCTTGGAGGCAACCTGTGTTACCTATTTCTTTTATATCCTCCTTAGATAGTTTAGGTTTCTTAAGTCTTTAATACTTTGTATGTCTTTCTATTACATGCACTACAGGTATTCTATACTTGTACTAATAACATGTTCATTCAGATGTTGGAGAATTTTTAAAAAATATCTTGAAGATAAAAAGTAATTCAAAAGATGTCAGCCTGGTTAAGAATCCCTTAGTCTAATAAAAAGGAAAAAATGTATAGAAATAACTAACAAATAGTAGAAATTCCTTCTGTCAGAGATATTAAAAAACACTAGAAGTTCAGGAAAAGGAGAGATTTACAAGTTAAGTGGAGGACTGAAGAAGGTTTGAGGTTGAGATTGCATCTGAGCTGAATTTTAAAGCTGGAGAGGATTTGAACATTTTACTAATTTGCAACATCCTGAACAAAAGCAGGACCAGGAGAAAGCAAAAGCTTTATACAGCATATACCATATTTTTATTTAAAAAAATATGAGTGCTGTCACTGTGCTCAGTTTTGTAGATGAAATAGTTAATACAAACGGACACAAACTCTTATGGATGCCTTGCCTTACAGTCTAGTGGGGGAAAATGAATAGTAATCAAATAATCACACAGTTGTAAGATTGTATCTGTGGTCAGTACTATGAAGGAGTACTTATGGTACTATGAAGAGTACCAGATAAATGGTACTCTGAGTGTTAGTAATAGAGAGTTTGACCTAGGTAGGGAGGTCAGGGAAGGCCTTCTATAAAAAAATAATTATAAACTGAAACCTGAACAATAAGGATATAGGCCAAGCTGTGGGGGAAGAGCCTTCTAGAAGGGAACCTGTGAGTTTTAGGGACAGAAAACACATCAGTGTGGCTGGAGCATAGAGAGCAAGTGAGGCAGGTTTGAGATAAGGTAGAAGAGGTGGGCTGGTGCCAAACTGTAGGGAAGCTATTTTGAACTATAAGCAAAAGGTGGGTTAGGTGTGTGGGGATTGTTGATATGATTAGTTTACATTTTTAAGAGGTTATTTCTAGCTTCAGTATGGAGCACAGGTTGGGGGGGGACCTTAGAAATATGGGTAGATCAGTTAGGAAGTAGGTGGTGGAGCAGATGAGAAATTTAGGAAGTAAAATTTACAGTAGATATGATTAGTGGTGAGGAAGAGGTTGGTGCTAAGGATGACTCCTAGGTTATCTGGCTTACATAATATAGGGATCACCTGGGCAAGATTTGAGGGACTAACAATGAGTTTAATTGGGTAGAGTAGAATTGACTGTTTTTGAGATATCCAAGAGATTTCAGATAGGCAGCTGTTATAGTTTGGAGATTAGAGAAGAAACTAAATATAAATAGTTTAGTTCAATTGAATTAAAGTAGAAATATGATTGTAAAGGTAAGTTGAAACTAGATATGCCATGGACGTCATTTAAATACAGCCTTCAGTCTATAGTTTGGGCTTTGTTCTACAGTTGGAAACCACAGAAGTTTGAAGAGGGGAGTGAGAAAATAAGAGCTCTACTTTAGAAAAACTTGGCCATAAAATGAATTGGAGAGGGCAGGGTTTAGTGCTTGTACCAGAAGTACTTAAGATAAGTGTATAGGACAAATACATGAACAAGTATATAGAGGAGAGTAGGTTGTGGTTGGGAGAACTATTGCAGAGAACAAATCTACATAGGTGGACAGCGAGCTGACCAGCGGAGTGAGATGAAGAAGAAAGAGTCAGCTTGAATTTCCAGGGAGCCTGGGTAACTGAGAGAAGGATGGGAACAAGCTTGGAATAGCATAAAACTGGAAGGTACTTGGAGTTGTCAGCCTATTTAAGATTGGTCTTCTTTTTAAGTTCATATCTTCCATGTTATCTAATAGCATCAATTCCAGTCATACTTAGTATCTAACTATAATTCTTTAAATTTCAAACTTAGATCCTAAAGTAGGTCTTAAAACTGTTTGTCATAAGTGTACAATCCAGATTGTGCCTGAGACTGTGGGACAGGAACTATACATTGTTTTTATTTATTACAGTAACTTGTGTATTTATTTTTCTATATCTGAATTTTTTAGTATTGCATCTCTAAAAGATAAAGACACTTCATAATACCATTACAGCTCTAAAGTGTAAAGAAATTAACAGTAATTTCTTAATATGAAAAAGTTCAGTATTCAAATTCCCAATTGTCTCATAAATATCAAATGTTCGTTTTTAATTTTCACATTATTTAATCAAGATCTGTATAATGTTCCAGTGGCAAATAATTGATATGTCTCTTAAGGCTACCTCAGTCTACAAATTCACTCTCCATCTCCCCACTTCCTACCCCTGCAACTTATTTGTTGAAGAAATCAGTGGCTTCCCTTGGTCTGGATTTTATAGATTTCATTCCCATGGTGTTACTTAACATGCTCTTCTGTCCTCTGTATTTCCTGTAGAGATTTGATTAATTAGGTTAGATTAAACTTTTTGCACAATATTTTTTACTAAAATCAAGTGGTTGGTGTGTGTACAGAATTGTGTCAAACAATGCAGACTATGGTTGGTAGGAGTTCAACAGAGAGAAGCTGGGAAGGTTGGGTGGTCCCAGTTAAGAACAGGTTTGTGAAGGTGGTAGGATTGGAGCTGGCTATAGAGCACAGGTCGCAAACACAGGCCTGCAGGCTGAATTTGGCCTTGCACTTTGTTTTATCCAGCCCGGCACCTTATTTCTACCCAGAGGCAGCACCATGCTCCTTGCCCCTAGTTAAGGAGTAGTTACATTTATACAGTCCTAAAATTATATTCGTCCTTTTGAAGGCAACCGAGAGGCTGATGTGGCCCCTGGTGAAAATAAGTTTGACACCCCTGCTATAAGAGGCTACGTGGCGATAAGAAAGCAGGTATGATACTATGTAGACAAGGAGAATAACACGAAGTTAGAAAGGGAGACAGGAGGAACCAGGTGTGGAGGACTTCGAAAGCAGCAGAAGAATTTATAATTGATATGGTTGTCAGTATGGAACTCTCAGAGATTATTAAACTGGGATGAGATGTATCAGTAATAAAGGTGCTATTTTAGAGAGACAGGACTGGAAAGAATTCAGTTAGAGGGTTAAGGACTGAGTCTGGAGAGTTTGGGAGGCAGAGGTAGGATGGTCACCAAAAAAGGTTATAGTGAAGGATCAGTCCAGAGTAATAGGAAATTACTATGTCATAGAATTTTTTCATTTAAAGATTTCATTTTTTTTTTATTTTTAGAGAGGGGAAGGGAAGGAGAAAGAGAGGGAGAGGAACATCCGTATGTGAGAAATACATCGATTGGTTGCCTCTCACAAGCCCCCAGCTGGACACCTGACTCACAACCCAGGCATGTGCCCTGACTGGAAATCAAACCAGTGACCTTTTAGTTCTTAGACCAGTACTCAGTCCACTGAGCCACACTAGCCAGGGTGGAAAATGTCATAGAATTTTGAGGAAGAGATTGTCAACAGTGTCAGTGTGATGGAGAGAATAAGGATAGAGAAAAGCAGTTGGTATTTACAAGAATTAGGAATAGGCATAGGTAAGTATTAATTAAATGTTTTATAATGAGGTGTTGTCTTGATAGTAATCACTTGAGTTATTTGAGCAATACTTAATAATTTCAGAATGTTTTATTCCCCCTTTAATCCTGTTCTGATCTTTTAGGTGCTTTAAAGTATAAGTAGGAAGAGATAGGAAGAAAATTTAGGAATACTTCAGTTTTACAGCCTCTTTATGAAAACATAGGATATTTGAAACAAGAAGGTTTGTTTGTTTATTTTTTATTAAATCTGCTTTGGAGTACAGCAGTGAAACAGTGAAGTGCTGGCTAATAGTAAATGAACGGTAGATGAGGGGACTGGATACCTGACTTCCCTTTGGGGCTCTTTCTCTATTTAGCTGTTCACTTTTAGTTCTGTGTCCTCATCCTTGAGTTGGACGAGGTGACCTTTAAGGTCCTTCTTAATGCTAAAATCCTGTGATTCGGGAGTTGATTCCTCAGATTAACTAAAGCAGTTGGTCCAAGACTTTAGCTGCTTTTGGGTAGTTTTAATAAAGTTAGGAGATTATTTTTTTAAACACACAAGCCAAAAGCTTTAATTGGTTAAAACATGAGAAATTGTTATTATTTGTATAGAGTAGCAATTTTTATGCTGTCTTTATTTTGGAAGCTTAAAAAAACTGGTAACTGCTGAAGGTCAACTCATCTTTCATATCAGTGGTAGCTGTTCTTAATGGCTGGTGGTTGAATTTAGATGCTATCTAAGGGATATGTAACTTGGTAAAAATGCAAGTGTTGTCTTAGTGTATGAGTAATACCTAGCAAGGAGGCTGAGGATTTAGATCATTTGTGGTTATTAAAAATTTTCATAAACTTTAGAGCTGCTATGACTAAGTTCTCTATTTTACTTAAAATATTCTTTTTGGTGACAGGATTGCTAACATGAAACTGGTGAATCTCTTAACTTTTTGTTGTAAAAATATTGAATATAAATTATGGTAGAGAAAATAGTTTAACAAACCTCCCTATACATATCGCCAAGTTTTACCAATGATTAATTCATGGGCAATCTAGTTTCGTGTTTACTCTACCCATTTTCCTACTCCAACCCAGGATATTTCAAACCAACTCCCAGATATCATTATGCCATCCATAAACATTTCAGTATCATCTCTAAAATACATGTATTCTTGTATATATCTTTTGATATTTTACAAAGTTGATTTGGGGAAATAATACTATGGTTTAGAATTTTGGTCAGTAATGAAGTAGTTGGCAGGTATTTTAAATGTTATATTAGTGTCCCATCCTGAAACTTCAGCCATTTTTTGGAAATATTTCTTTATATTACTTAAAAATATGTAAGTTCATTGTTTAAAAACACATAGCCTAAGGTTTGGGTACTTTTTAATATTTAAGAAAAATCAAACTTCTGTTTCTTTGGTCTGTTTTTCATCTTTTCAGGTACGTGCTTTCCAGCATGCCTTTAGCACTAATGACTGCTCCAGGAATGTCTACATTAAGAAGAATGGCTTTACTTTACATCGAAACCCCATTGCTCAGAGCACTGATGGTGCAAGGACCAAGATTGGTTTTAGTGAGGGCCGCCATGCATGGGAAGTGTGGTGGGAGGGCCCTCTGGGCACTGTGGCAGTGATTGGAATTGCCACAAAACGGGCCCCCATGCAGTGCCAAGGTTATGTGGCATTGTTGGGCAGTGATGACCAGAGCTGGGGCTGGAATCTGGTGGACAATAATCTACTACATAATGGAGAAGTCAATGGCAGTTTTCCACAATGCAACAATGCACCAAAATATCAGGTGAGAAACTAGGTATTTTCTTAGGTGTGGGCCTATGTCAAATCATGCCTTAATTTGTTTTAAATTTATAAAATTTTATATAGTAGCTTTGTTTGTCTTTTTGGTAATTTTTAATTAAATAACATAACTGGCCTTTCTTAGCTACGCTGATGGTAATTTTTCAGTGTCTCAATATTTGTTTCTTAATACATATTCAACCATGAACATTTCATCTTTGCTCTAAATCAGGGGTCAGCAAACTCTTTCTAAAGTACAGGGCCATATAGTAAATATTTTAGGCCTTGTGGTCCATATGGTCTCTGTCACAACTGTTCAACTCTGCTGTTAGAGCACAAAGCAGCCCTAGATAATATGTGAATGAACGAGCATAGCTGTGTTCCACTAAAACCTTATTTATAGGCTGCTGGTCAGATTTGGTCCAGGGGCTGTAGTTTGCCAACTTGAGCTCTAGATTTTCATCTCTTTATCATGGCACATCTAAATCTACTTTTTCTAGGCATCTCACCCCAACAAATGTACCTGTGTGCATGTACACACATACCCTCTGCTATTTATTAATCTGCTTGTGGATTTACAGCCTTTGCAGGTGTCAGTGATTTCTATAAAACAGACAAGTTTAGGCAAACTTCTGTATTTCTTTAAAAATTGATTTTAGAGAAAGAGGAAGGGAGAGAGAGACAGAAACATTGATTTGCTTTTCTACTTATTTTTGCATTTATTGGTTGCCTCCTGTATGCGCCCTGACTGGAGACTGAACCTGCAACCTTGGCATGTTGGGACGACGCTCTAACCAGCTGAAACCCTGCCAGCGCCATTTTTTAATTGTTTTCATGTTAGCTTTATACAACACTTATGTGATTCTAGGGTCGAAATTATAGTTTCTGTTTGTGAAAGTTATATGATTACTGTAGGTCTAAAACATAGTAACCTTATGAGAAAATAGAAATTTTAAGGAATTATAGAGTGCATATTTCAGAAAAACGTGACTTGAAAGCTCTAGCCTCAGTAATGACCTCAAGTCATGGATACTAAAGTAGAAGAACTAAAAATATATTCAGTTTCCTGAGGTTGAAAAGTCTGGAAGGATTTTCTTTCATAGAATCCATTCTTTACTGTCTCTTGAGGCTCTTCAAATACCCTAATGCACAGGTGGCAAACACAAGGCCCTCGGGTGGAATCCGGCCCTTCACGTTGTTTTATCCAGTGGACACCTTGTTTCTACAGCACCTTGTTTCTACCTAGTGGCAGTGCCAAGCTCCTTGCCCCTAGTTGAGGAGTAGTTATGGTACATTTACACAGTCCTAAAATTACATTCGGCCCTTTGAAGGCAACCTCGAGGCTCATGTGACCCCTGGTGAAAATAAGTTTGACACCCCCTGCCCTAAGGAGAAGGGCGTCTGGACTTAATAATCATTAATGATAAAGACCAATGGCTACTAGGCTTGTGGTAATTTTGTAGTGAAAGTCCTTCAGTCTTCTTCAGAGAACATACTCTGTATGATTTCAATTCTTTTAAACTTACTGAGGTTTGTTTTAGTGTCAGCATATGGTCTATCTTGATGAGTGTTCATCAAGTATTCCAATATATGTGCTCAAAAAGAACATAAATTCTGTTACTGGATGGAGTATTTTATAAATGACAGTTAGGTCAAGTTGGTTGATAGTATGGCATTCAAGTCTTCTGTATCCTTACTGATTTTTCTTTCTACCTGTTCTATCATTTATTTTTGTTTAAAGTATTTTTATTGATTATGCTATTTCAGTTATCCCAATTTTTCTCCTTTTATCCCCCCCTACCCTGCACCCTCTAACCCTTCAGCATTCCCCCCACCCTTAGTTCATGTCCATGGGTTGTACATATAAGTTCTTTGAGTTCTCTGTTTCCTATGCCATTTTTTATCTCTCCCCATCTATTTTATGCCTACCAATTATGCTGCTGCTTCCCTGTTCTTCTTCTCCCCTATTCCTCCTCTCCCCCTCCCCACTGAAAGCCCTCCATGTGTGATCTCCATTTCTCTGATTCTGTTCCTGTTCTAGTGATTTCCTTAGTTTTTGTTTTCATTGTTTTTCTTTTCTTTTAGGTTCATTTGTTGATAGTTGTGAGTTTGTTGTCATTTTTCTGTTCATATTTTTGATTTTCATTTTCTTAGATAAAAGTCCCTTTAACATTTCATATAATAAGGGCTTGGTGATGATGAACTCCTTGAACTTGACCTTATCTGGGAAACACTTTGCCTGCCCTTCCATTCTAAATGAAAGCTTTGCTGGATAGATTAATCTTGGATGTAGGTCCTTGCCTTTCATGACTTCAAATACTTCTTTCCAGCCCCTTCTTGTCTGCAAGGTTTCTTTTGAGAAATTAGCTGATAGTCTAATGGGAACTCCTTTTAGGTAACTGTCTCCTTTTCTCTTTCTGCTTTTAGGATTTTCTCTTTATCTGTAATCTTGGGTAACGTGATGATGTGCCTTGGTGTGTTCCTCTTTGGGTCCAACTTCTTTGGGATTCTCTGGGCTTCCTAGACTCCTAGAAGTCTATTTTTTTCTCCAGATTGGTGAAGTTTTCCTTCATTATTTGTTCAAATAAGTTTTCAGTGTCTTGCTGTTGTTGTTCTTCTGGCATCCCTATAATTCAGATATTGGAATGTTTCACGCTGTCCCAGAGGTTCATAAGTCACTCTTCACTTTTTTGAATTCTTGTTTATTCATTCTGTTCCAGTTGGATGTTTATTTTTCCCATTTGTTCCAAATGGTTGCTTTGACTCCTGGTTTCCTTCCAGTCACTGTTGGTTACTGAATATTTTGCTTGATTTCATTTTGGGTATCTTTCATTCGTTCTTTCATTTCTCGACTAAGCTCAATCAGTACTGTGAGCATTTTGATTACCAGGGCTTTAAATTCTCCATCAGATAGGTTGGCTAGCTCTTCCTCGCCTGGCTCTCTTTCTGAAGTTTTGCTCTGTTCTTTCATTTTGTCTCTATTTCTTTGTCTTGGAGCACCTGTTAAATTGTATGGGGGCAGGGCCTTAGGTATTCACCAGGGTAGGGCAACCCTCTTTGCTCCCCTGTGGGGCTGCCTGTGTGGGAGGGGCCAGAGAGGGAACAATACAGCTCCCTTGCTGGGCCCCAGCCCACTGGGAGTTTCTCCCACTGAACATGCGTAGTCCACTGTCAACCCTGAGTCTCTTCAGCCAGCCCTGCCCATGCAGTTCACTACCTCCCCGTGGTTTTTCTGAGCCTGCCTCGCCATGTGTTCTTACCTGTCTGGTTGTTTTGGTTGACAAGAAATTTTCTTTAATTTCTTGGTTGTCAGAGTTCCACGCAGTTTGATTTTCTGGCACTTCTGGTTGTTTATTGATTTTAGATTGGTTGTTATCCTCCTTTTGGTTGTGTGAGGAAGCAAAGGGTTTCTACCTACACTTCCATCTTGGCCAGAACTCCCTGTTCTATCATTTATTGAGAGGAGTGTTGAAATTTCCACTGTACTTGCTAATTTATCTATTTTTATTTTTAGTTCTGTCAGTTTTTGCTTCATGTGTTTTGTAGCTCTGTTATTAGGTACATATATATATATATATAAAATTGTCATTTCTCTCAATCTGATTAACTCTTTTATCACTATGAAATGACCTTCTTTGATTTTTAATAATATTCCTCATCTTTAAGTCCATTTTGTCTGGTACTAATATAGCCACTCCAACTTTCTTATGTTTACGAACGCTTACTTTCTTATGCACGGTACCTCCCTTCACCCCCATCATTTTACTTTCAATTTGTCATTCTACTAGATAGTGTATAATTGGGTCTTGCTTTATATCAAACTGGGTCTCAGAGTCTCTGCTTTTTGATTTGAATGTTTAATCCATTAACATTTAACATAATTGTTGGACTGCTTGATACTATCCTAGTCTCTGTGCATTGGAAGCTATGTGGTTTTTTTTTATCTTTATTTTTTCGGATTGGATAATTTCTGTTGCTCTGTCTTCAAGTTCATAGATTGTTTCTTTTTGCCATTTCAACTCTGCTATTAAACCAGACTAATGAATTTTAATAATTGTGCTCTTTGGCTTTAGAATTTTCACTTTTTTTTACAGTTTCTATTGCTCTATTGAGATTTTCTATCTGTGCATTCATTAATACTAAATTTTTTCTTTAATTCCTTCATATTTTTATAATAACTGCTTTGCAGTTTGTCTGCCAATCCAACATCAAGGCCTACTTGGAGTCACTTTCTTTTATTGACTGCTTTTTTCTTCCCTGAGTCAAGTTACACTTCACTGTTTCTTTTCATATCTAGTAATTTTTAAATTGAAAACTGGAAATTATAGGTATTATACAGTAGTATTGGAGTGTTTTGTTCCTCTAGAAATGGCTTTGTTTTTCGAAGAGTCTAGGTTTTCTTGTTCTGGCAGGCAGATAACCCGTCTGTACTCAAACTGTAAACTCTGTGTCACGCGTGGTGTGCGTCAGCTGATGTCTTTGTACCATTTTTGTTTGTTTGTTTTGTTTCTTTGTTTTTGGCTTGGAGGTGCTACTTTTTTAGGTTCCTTAGAGGTGTCTCTGTGTCTGTGTAATGTAGTGGTCACACAAGAATTGGGCATAGTTTATTCTCAGATTTTGGGGCTCATGCTCTTTGTGGTTTTGTTACTTCTAGAGTTTCTACTTTAAGTTTCTAGTTACCGTATCATCTCCAAGTTTTGCTCTGACACCTGAAGCTAGTGAGACTTCTGCTAGTTGCTCCCTGTGCTGTGTATGTGCTGTATGCTCAGTCAAAGGTGATGCAGGAGCAATATGGTCTTTTTTAGTTTCATCTAATATAAAATAGGGATAACATCTAGGATTGATATGAGGATCAAGAAGGATAATGCAAATAAAGCACAAAACAAATACCCAACAAAATATTAACTTTTCATTTCTGTTTGTTGTTTGTGTTTTGGTGATGGTGGTAGTAGTGGTGATGATCATTAGGATGTTTTTAGGTCCATAAAATGGGGTGTGGGTTATCTGCAAGTTGGACAAAGGGAGGAAAAAGCAGATGCTTATAGTTATTTGTGGTAGGAAATATAATGAAATAACAGCAGGAGTTATCAGAATTAGTATGAAATTACTGTTTTTGGTTGCAAATGTTAGGACTTTCTGCCTCTGGGTATATAGATACAATAACCTTTTATAGATGCAAATTATAAAGATAAAATATCCTCAATTCTTCATGTATTTTTTCAAATGGGAAAATAACTGAATATATTGTGCTTCCAGTTTAGTTTAATAGTTTATGCTGCTTTTTTATAATGAACAGATGTTTCAGAGCAGCGGACCACAAGTGACTATTAGAAAGCCTATTCTGGCCCTGACTGGAGTAGCTCAGTTGATTGAGCATCGTACTGCAAAGCAGATGGTCACTGGTTTGATTCCCAGTCACAACACATGCCTCGGTTGTGGGCCCAGTCCCTGGTTGGGACACGTGTGAGAGGCAACCAGTTGATGTTTCTCTCACACATAGATGTTTCTCTCCCTTTCTTTCTCCCTCCATTCACCTCTCTCTGAAAAAAAAAAAAATCTTTTAAAAAATTAATTTTAAAAAAGGCTATTCTGCATCTTTAGAATTTATAGTCAGATTTGGCTATTCATGATTATATAAGTTCCACATTGTATATAGAACTGCTTTAACTTTAAAGGCTTATGTAAGTATTTTATTATATATATAGTTTTTATGGTAGTAAAATATATACAATATTTAAAATTTTAACCATTCGTAAGTGTATATAATTCACAGACATTAAATACATTCACATTGCTGTATAACCATCACCATTATTTATACCCAAAACTTTCTTATCATCTTCAACATAACTCTGTACTCATTAAAAAATGACTCTCTGTTTTTTGTCTCTCCTCCTCCCAGGTTCTGGTAACTTCTATTTTCTGTCTCTATAAATGTGAACATTCTAGGTGCCTGATATAAGTGGAATCATGCAATATTTGTCTTCTGTGTCTGGCTTATTTCACTTAGCATAATGTTTTCAGGGTGCATCCATGTAGCATATATCAGAAATGCATTTCTTTCTATGGATAGATAATATTCCATTGGGTGTGTGTGTGCATGCCTGCTTGCATGTGTGTGTGTGTATGCTATGGTAATTTGAAAAGGTTATTTAGGTAGCTTTTTCTGGGTAAAATATGATACCAAATTATAGATTTTAGTGGTATCCTTCTTAAGAAAAGCCTTGAGGTAAAGAGTAAATAAAATCTGAGGACTGCTCAGGGGGAACATTTAAATTTTCAGTATTTAATGTAGGTCCCATGCAAGTCTTAAATTAAAAAACTATCAAAACAAGCAGTTATGAAATTGATATATATTCTTTCATCTAGATGTTTCTCAGTAATCAGAGACCTTCTCTTCGGGCTTTTAAAATAATTTTTAGGGTATATATTTTTAATATTTTCAACTTGTTAGTTTGTATAATGCTTCTTTTACCTATGCCCTTTTGGATTTTCTTCTAACCTTCTTTTGATATCTGTTCGCAGATAGGAGAAAGAATTCGCGTCATCTTGGACATGGAAGATAAGACTTTAGCTTTTGAACGTGGATATGAGTTTCTGGGGGTTGCCTTTAGAGGACTTCCAAAGGCCTGCTTGTATCCAGCAGTTTCTGCTGTATATGGCAACACAGAAGTGACTTTGGTTTACCTTGGAAAACCTTTGGATGGATGACAGTGGCTTTCTTAAGATGAAAAAAGACAGAGTGGAGGAGATATCTGCTTGTGGAAAGTAGAACCATGAAGTGACAGTGTCATACATGCATGTCCAAGAAACATCCTGAAAAACACGTGAAATTGTTAACTGGAGAAACAGCTCTACAGCAAAGATTATCTTAGTGTTTCCTCTTTCTACTGGGCCAGAAAAATCCTCAGGGTTGCAGTTGGTTGAGTGGGCAGTTGACATATGCATGTTGCAACAGATTTATCTCTAAGCTAGCAATGTGTTATTTCCAACTTTTAAGGTGAGATCTTAGAGATGCTGTACAAGGGATAAAATAAGGAAGTAGCAAAAATTTTTAAGTAGTGTGTTTTTGAAGAAAGACTGATCCTGTTTTACAACTGCCTGTTTTTTCCCCAGACACTTTTTTCCCAGCCAGCTTGACTATTAGAAAAATACGAAACTGGCTGGGTTTTATTTAATATTTTTAATATATTGAGAAGCATGGTCTGCTTGGACTGCACTTCTCTAACAGTGAGATGTAAAATTGTGCAGCTATTTTAAAAGTTGTATATACAATGTGTGTGTAAAAAAACAACAACAAAAAATACAGGACAAAGAGGTTGCTTTGTTCTAGTTAAATTTCTTAAAAACCACTACATGGTATAAAATTAAAATAATACATAGGGACAATTCGGTATAACTACAATGAAGAGGATTTTAAGAGGAGATGTGTTGTATTGGCTCATTTTATATTATATTTGGTTTACAGTTTCCATAGTTGTTATAGTCTGTTTTCTCTTTTTGTCAAAATTATTGTAAAAATCCTTTAATATACTGGGTAAAGATTAAAGGAAAGCAAATTTATTTCTAATTATATATAAAATTATAATAGTATCTGGTTTATTTTTTGACTTTCTGAGAAATTGTCTCATAAAAACACAAAATATTGCCAATTGCTCTTATAAACCTCGAATAAAAGCTGTTAGTCGCAGACCTCAGAAAAAGAATTGATTAATGGTCCTTTTATTTTATAATTTTATAATTCTGTAGATATACTTTTTTTAATTTCACATTGTTTACAACATGCAACAATCTAAGCCTCAAACTCTTCATTGGGGTTATCAAGAAAATGTTTACTCACCCGCCTGGAACAGTGCTAGCCTGAACCCATGTTAAGAATGTTCTTAATCTTACAGATAATTGCCCCCATGGGACTTGAAATAAAACACCTTGTGCTGAAAACTTCAGGTTGGCAGTATTTTGAAGGTTTCACTATAGGAGAGCTTAACATTAATTCCTATTCTGAATTTTTGACTAATAAATTTTGATTTCACAACTACTCTTTCAAATTAATAATCTAACATGCATTAGTTGAGATTTTCTTTTGGAAGAGAAACAAACATCTTTCTGTATGAAAGCATAAATTATATGATTTCAGATACATATTTGTGATAAGAATTGACTAAGGCAAGTGGAGTCTTTGTACTTTTTAAGGTTATGGTTATATGCATATTCTGTCTTAAATCTAATAAAGTTAGGGACAGCAAGCAGCTGGCTGGGGTTTTTGGGTTGCTCCTTGCGATTTAAGATTATCAATACTCCTGTGAAGCAGGGGATTTCAGTCATGAACAAAGATTTATTTTTGCCCTGTGACAGGTTTACAAATATTTGTTGTATATTTTGTATGTTGCTTAAAGATTAAATCAGTTAAAGATTCTTTTCAATATCTATGTCAAACAGAAACCTGGAAACCATATTTAATAGTACAGAGTGAAATTATATGTTAACGTGTATTAGAGAATATAGCTGTTACAGGAATTGATTTTTGTTGCTGTGGAATGACTCTATTTGGCAAAGTTTAAAATTTGATTAAAGAAGAGAACTGGTTCAGGATGAAGATTGAGCTAGTTAGAACATTAAAAAGTCTTTTAAGTACTTGTTTGTTTTTCAGGTTGTGATATGGCCAATTCTAAGAGCTGTGGCTGAGAATTTTGTTTATAACTTGTGTTTTGTCTTACTCATAAACATTTATTTTGTAACAAAGTTTTGAAGGTGCTGAATGGAAAACAGAAACACATGATTATTGCATATTGAACTTATAATCAAATAATTGCCTAAATATTTAACAACAAGCTATTCTTATCTCAAAGATTTACTATAAATTCCCTAACATCCCATTTGCAAATTTTGTAAAATGGAGGTCCATATTTAGCACAAGCATTGAGAGAATGAAGAGCCTTCGTTTATAACCTGATAAATGAATTTGTTACTGGAGACCAATTGTAGGTATATGGAATATTAAAACAAACTACTATACTACAATGTTCAAGGAAATGAAATATTTTTTTCATTGGTGCTGAGAGAACATTTAGGTAAACGACAGTTGCACTTGAAGATTGAGTATAAATTATTTAAACCAGTAGTTCCCAACCTCAGCTGTACTTTGGAGTCATGTGTGCTTTGAAAAATATCGATAGTTGGGTGCCATGCCCTAAGATTTTGATGTTGAGCTGGGATATAACATGACCATAAGAATTTAAAAAACAAAAACTTCCTAGATGATTTATGCTTCCAAGGTTGAGTTCAAAATTCACCTTAAGTTTTCTCATCTGCAAAAAAAAAAAGTATCCTTGCTCCTTCCCTTCACTACCTCACAAGAATATTGAGGATAGAGAAAATAATGCAAAAGGGCTTGTGTGATGGATAAAAAGTGCTATTGAAAGCCAGAGTATTTGTTGTATTTCAACTGAAACTATGTGCAGGAAAAATGTGTAACTGAATTTACTTTGTTGACTTGAGAAACCAGGAGCTTTCTCTACTTCTTAACTTTAGTGAAGCATGCTGATGTGTAAGCAGACATTACTATTATTCTCATTCATACTATGATATTCTGTCATACTTGAGATAGGCCGTTTTAAATTATCTAGTTTTACAAAGGAAAGAAGAAATATTAAGGCTTAAAGTCTGTAATGGCCAGTGGCTCATAATTCATTAAAACATTTCATACAAAGAAATTTGTGGTTAATATATATCATTTCACAGTTGCCATATTTTTCATCATCTGAGTTTTGAATGTTCAGTCATTTATTTCATCTTCATTTATATTCATGTATGTTTAATTTTAGACTTGAGAAAGCACCTAAAACTAAGTTTTGCCCAATTGAATACTTAAACATCATGGCTCCATGACTAGACATCCTCTGCATTTTAGATATGATTTCACCTGGGAAAGAGTTTGGAAAATAATAGAACCCTAAACCACATAGTAGCTATTAGAATTTTAAGTCCCCAAACTGCCATTTATATATTAATATATTTTATCATTTTTAAGAATGAACAGTTTGAAGAGATAGAAACTTAGGGAATTTTAAAGATTAACATTGAGAAGAGTACTCTCCAGAAATCAAGGCCACCACAGCCAAGACCACTTGGAAGCTTTGAAGGAACACTCCATACCCAACCCAAGTCCTATCCTCTCAAAGCATTCGTTAATTCCTATAGCTGAATGTAATCTCTCACTCCCTGCAATTCCCCTAGTTTTATATTTTATCTACACTTAACCCATGCTATATTACTTTATACTTCATATAAGTTTATTTATATTTATTGGTTGTTTGTTGGTGTCTTATCTCCCCTGAACATCTTAGGACAGGATCTCTGATGGACTCATCTTTATGTCCACATCATCTTAGTCCAGTAGGCAGGTGCTCAAATATTTGCCGAAGGAACAGATAAAGAAAAGACAGAAGCGCCTCTGAAGTTACAGACTACAGTAACAGAGGATAGATGAGGAAGAAATTCTTTCCGTATTCTGTCCAGGTGAAGCACAAAGGAAAGGGATGCAAATTTGAGGCTAATAAGGAAGAAATAATGACTGTGAACGCATTTTAGCTGTTTTCCTTTATTAAATATTGGTAAACTCTGATTTTTAGTTTTTGGTGTAGATTTATTTGTTTAGAATTAAAATTAGAATTCTGTGTTTTGATTTTTGAAATTCTGTTACTTTGCTTTAGTTTAATAATAAAAAGTTAAAAAACATTAAACACCTGTGGTTGCTTACATTTAAAACGGACCTTTTTTTGTAAATTGGCCACAAAGAAAAACAGGTACCTTATTAGCCAAACCTAATGGAATTTACCTACAAATTCCATGGCTTTTAATACTAGAATCTTCATTTTCCATGTTTAGAATGGAATGTGTACAGGGAATAGCACAATAATTCACTGGGACCCAGTCCCCTTATCTCCACCCGCAGCTAACAGTTGTTTGATAATAAAGTGGTTTGCCAAGAGTAATAAGAGACTGCATGGCTGAACCGATGGCCCCTGTGATCCAAAACCATAAGACAGAATTAGTTGATCATGTTGCTAAAAGTTGCTTCACATCGTGACATGTTAGTTAAAATTTATGCAAAGGGTTTTAATTTTTCTACAAGAAAAGTAGGTATAAAATTTCCATATTTATCTTTCCGTTCAGGGACAGCTTTACCAGTGTGTTGTCCTAATTTTTTGAGGGGTGGGGATCCTCCCCTGAACCATTTGCTTTTTGTTTAATGCATTCATTAAAATGTTGAGAACATGTTCTTTACTCTTCAAAATATAGGTAGTATTAGAAACAGTTCCTCAGGATTTAAGATTTTCATTATTCAACTTGTATGTATTGGATTTCATGAGTAACTCAAGAAATAGGAATCATTTAGGACATTTTTCTTAGATCCTCCTGTCAATAGTCCTTCATTCCTGTTCCTTTTTCAACAAAACATTTAAGAAAAAAGAGAAGTCAAGCCTTGCCTATTCTATGGTATGATACTTAGTCATATTGCATTTCTGCTCCCTCCTTTCCTCCACAAATAAAATGGTGATGACCTTGATGGTTTTGAGGTTCCATCTCCCTTGAGAAAGGCTTTCTGAAATAATTCATTAAAATGCTAATTTCCAGAGTTAGATTAGAGGCATATTGTAATGGGAATAGGGCCAGCACTTTTATTTTAATGTAACTAACTTGTTCACATTTTCCAACCAATATCTAAAAGGCCTTTTATTCATCTATGCCCCTTTATTGATCACCTTTGAAGGAAACAATGTTTTAGGTTGGAATGAGAAAAGTCAATGATTTCTCTCCCTGCTTCAACAAGCCAAAGAACAGTACAACTCAAGACCAGAGCAGTGAAGAGCATGAATGAAGAGCATGAAAGGCGCATTGGTAATGGAGACTGGCTGCATTTATTTTGGGGGAACAACCAAATGCATCCACTATCCCAAACACAATCTGTGGGAATAGTGACTTTAAACACCTATGGAGTCACACAGAATGGGTAGTGCCACCCTATACCACTCTAGATTTTAGGAGGCCATGAGTAAGTCATAACTTCTGAAATTGTAAGGATCTCCCTACCCACCCAGCTGCTAGTCACCTACTTAGTAGTTTGGAAAGAATAAGAAAGCAGACAAGATAATTCATAATTCATGAAATATTTTTATGCACCTACATGTACCAGGCTTTTGCAGGTCCTAGGAATGTAGATAGAGATGAGAAAAAACAAAATGGTCTAAAGTTGTTCATAAGTTAGTGAGAGCAAATGTGGAAATAGACTACGATGAAGCAGTGGACTAATTGTTTTTTTTAATAAAAAAAAATTTAATCCTTACCTGAGGATATGTTTATTGATTTGAGAGAGAGAGAGAGGAAGAGATTGGCTGTCTCCTGCACATACCCTGACCAGGGATTAAACCCACAGCCTAGGTATGTGCCCTGACCTGGAATTGAACCTGCAACCTTTTGGTATACAGGATAACACTCCAACCAACTGAGTCAGCCAACCAGGGTGAAAATACTTGCATTATTGGAATTATGTATGAGGTCCAGTGTGGCACAGAGAGAGGGAGTGTTTAACTTAATCTGGAGTGATATTTAAACTTGAGTCTTAGAAGATGAATAGGAGTTAGTGAGGATAGTCCACCATTCCAGGCAGATGGAATAGTATGTATGATGGTACTGAGGCATAAGT